GCAGGACCCCAGGCTGGCTGGGGGTCCCGGTGAGGTCCTGCCATTGCCCCATCAAGCAGGGACCTCCAACGCCATCTCCATCCCCCCAGCCAGCAAGGGGAGGAGAAGAAAAAAATCCCGATGCATTTCTTCTGCCCTTCAGTGCCTTTGTGGCAGATCTGCTTTTCCCAGAGGTTTCCCAGAGCTGACCAACCTCCTCGCCAAATGCTGCTCGATGGAGAGCGCGGCTCGGCAGGCGGTGATGCCCTGCCCTGTGTCCGCAGGAGCAGAGCCCACAGGAGGGATGTCCCACGGGCTGGGAGATGCAGGGGCCAAGCTGCAGCGAGGAGGAGTGGGCTCAGCTCAAACGGGAGGGGTGTCCTGCTCAGCACCCAGGGACACAGCTCATCTCCAACGACTGGTGCTGCAATGGGGTAAATGAAACCTTTTGTCAGCATCATTTCCCCTGGTTCAGCTGGGGGGGGAACTACATTTTATAGACCTTTGGCTTCTCATCCAAAGGGGAAAAAATAAAAGAGAGAGAGGAAAAATGCCCTTTAAATAGAACTTTCCATGCTGGAAGTACCTCTGGAAACACAGCGAAGGGGGAGCCGCCAGCACGAGCGATAGGTGCAGCACGGCGGGACAGGGGATGGATTGGGACACGACCCAGGAACAGGCGTCTGTTCTCCTCTCAGCTCAGCTCACCCTGCCGATGCTCTGCCCTCGCCAGGGGAGACTAAATCCTGAGCCTTCATCCTGCCCAGGGCTGCCCCACGGAGCCTGGAGGCTGAGGTGATCCCTGTCCTGGCTAGGGAATGTGTCACCTGGTGCCATCCAGACCCAGGTTGCTCCATGGTCACCCCCAAAGCGATGGGACACAGTTCTCCTGCCCCAGCAGAGCTCCCTTTCTCAGGACAGCCACAGATGCCTCTTCTCTTGTGTTTAATTTTGCCCAGCTTCTGGGTGCACTCTATCCCTCCCCAGGTCAATCTCCCCGTCTACTTTGCCTTTTCCCCAGATTTGTTTAATAGGAGAACTCCCAGGATTATTTTCGCTGCCGGAGCTGCATGCTAGCAGCTGGTGGGAACGTGGGCTGCCTACAGCAGGGAAAGAGAAACAAGATGCTTGGCTCATTTATCCAGCTCCCTGGCCCCCGATAAAAGCCACGCTAGCTTCGTATCCACTGGAGGAGACCACCAACCAGGCCTTTAAAGTCCAGCCACAACTGGGAATTCACGCTCAGCCCACGGTGCTGCGGCTGCAGAGCGCCCTTCACCTGCTGGTGCTGGAGCTGAGCACGGAGCAGCCAAACCCGTGCACTCCTGGGCACATCGTCTTCATCCAGAGCCTTGCCCTGGTGTGCCCTGCTCAGCAGCTCCTGGCTGCATGGCAAAAAAAAACACAGTGAGGCACGGCAGAGGATGGGTTTGGGGGCTTTTTGCAGTGTGAGGCTGCAGATGTGGGCTTGCACTCAACAGCAGCGAAGCCACTCCGAGGGAAGGGCACAGCTGGATCTCCGATGGAGGACATGAGCCATTGGAGACGGGGACAAGGAGGGACGTCTCTGAGACGGGGAGGTGTCTGCAGGTGCTGAGGTGTTCGCAGGCTCCAGGCACAGCCACCGGGTAGCAAACCAGTGCAGAGCTGGGAGCCGGGCAGGACGGTGCTGCATTGCTCCGTTTAGCAATAAGGGCTGGTTTGCAGCAAACACTGCTCCACAGACCTCACTCTTCCGTTGTCCAAGTAATTTGCATTTATCCTACACTTTTTTTTTATTATTATTATTTTATTTTTCCCCCCCTTCTGTGTTTTTCCCAAGGATCCTTATTCCCTCTGGCAATGACTTATCGGTCTTGCTTCGCTGTGACTTGGGATATGTCACCAATGCCATTTCTTGGCTGGGATGAGACGAGCAGGACCCAGGAGGGCTGGGATACACCATCGGGTTGCCCCATGCCTTGGAAAGCAGGAGCAGACCAGGGGGGCTGGGGACCCAAAGAATCACACCATTTCCCCGTGTGCCAGACCTGACCGTTTGGCTTCTGTTGCGCCGAGCCCAGGTGAGGGGCGAAGGCTCAGAGGCCAGCGGAGGACGAGAACAACGGTGGTCGGCGCTCAGCTGCGCAAAGCCCCAGCCCTCCGCCTGAGCTCATCGCCTCGGAAAACATTTGGGGAGGACGCGTCCAGTTCGGCTTCGTAATGCGGAGTGGCTTGGCAGGTCTGCAAGCCCCTGGGGCCCTTCGCGAGCATTAACCAGTGGGTTAGAGCAGCCCAGCCATCTCTCTCCTTGCCGGGACCTGGGTTGCTGAGCGAGGCTCTGCTCGGCGCCACGTGATCCGGGGAAAAAGCTCGGCTGGTCCCTTTAAGGCCGAAATTACGAATATATTTCTGGAGGCTCTGGAAAAGAAGTCAAGTCTATTGGCTTCTGCGTCACCGGCACCGGCCATTGATTCCCTGTAAATGTTTCATATTTGGCCAAACTGGCTGTTGACGGAATAGTTTCTGATTTAACACTCTCGGCTACAGCCGAGACCCAGATGGGTCCCATTAGCTCTGGAGAGCCCGTCCCCTCCATTGGCTGCCGGAGGAACACTTCCTCACGGCCCCCTCCTCCTTATTCCCAAACAGACACTTAAGCCCCTCTAACGAGATTTGCACTGGAATCCTGGTTATTTCAGCCTTCAGCGGATGTTGCCTTTTATCGTTATTGTTATTTATCTCGTGTTTTAATGAAAAAAAAGGGACATGCGTGGAAGCAAGCCCCAAGTCCCACTGCCACCCTCTCCCTGCTGTTGGGGTCCTCGGTAGCTCCCAACCCTGCACCCCCCCCCTGCCCGGCTCCCCCAGCCCCACAAGGGTCCCCCCACGTCCTTCCCTCTCCCCCTCCCACCATTTCTCTCCTCCCCTCTGCCCTTCTCGCTCCCACTCTATTTAGTCTGTGTTCAAAACCCTGCACAAAAGCTCTTACAGATCCCCGGGCTGTGACCCAAACAGTAAAGAATGTTTATATGCTGGTCGCCTTCCATTTCTGTGTATTAATATTGCGCACACACGCTCATGCACTCACACATGGCGTTTCTGGTGCCTCCTCGGGCTGCCGGCCAAGGGAGCCCAGCCAAAGTAAAGGCATCTGGGCCCTTTTTGAGCAAGCAGGAAAAGGAGGAGGAAAGAAAAGGCAAACGCAAAGGCGTCGTGATAGAAGCAGCCCCCCCAGCCTCTGCCCCTGCAGTGCCAGCCTGTGCCTGCCCCAGCAAACCCCCCGTGTCCCTTGTCACTCCCTGCACAGCTGCGGGTGGCTCTCTGGGGACAGGGGTGGCAGCGTCCAGAGGTGCCCCAGGGGCTCTGTGGGAGCCGCAGCTCAGGGTTAGGGCTTGAAGAGGGGGCACAGAGCCCCAGCGGGAGCCTTCTTCCAGCCTTTGCCCCCAGGTCTCTGGTACCTGGGGTTCCTGAAGGCCGGCCTGGGGAGTAAAGACCAAGGCGAAGAAGTCCTCCAGTACCTTTTCACCATCCCATGTAACGAGGTCTCCTGTTTTATTCGGCATAGTGCTCACATTTTCCACAGTCTTCCTTCTGCTGCTGCTGTAGTTACAGAAGCTCTTCTTGTTGCCATTGACATCCCTGGCTGTATTCAATTCCATTTGGACTTCACCTTTCCTAATTTCATGCCTGGATGCTCAGACTATCTGTGTTCCTCCCAGATTATCCATCCTTGCTTCCACCCTCTGCACGTTTCCTTTTTATTTTGAGCTTTGCCAGTAACTCCTTGTTCATCCACCCAGGCCTCCGGGCACTTCTGCCTGCCTTCCTCTTCGTTAGGATGCATTGGAGGAGGCAACCCTTCAATATCGACCGGCTTTCTCAGGCCCCCTTCCACCCAGAGCCTTGTCCCGTGGCACTGCACCAAGCAGCTCTTAGGGGCCAGGTTCTCCTCTCCCCACATGCAGGTTTGTGAGCTCGCTGTTCATCCTCCCCACTGCTATAGGATCAGGAAGGTCACCAGCTCAGGGTCACTCGCTGGCTCCGTTATCACGAGGAGAAAGAAGTTCTCATCAATACATTCCATGGGCCCTCATCTGTTCGTTCACCTGGCCGGGCAGCCTGCAGCAGACCCCACTATAATGCCACCTAACCCTGTCCTCCCTCAGCCCTAACCCCGAAACCCTCAGCCAGCTCCTCACCCGTCCCCAGGCAGAGCTCGGTGCTGGTCCCTCACGGAGGACAAGAGCCCCTCCTCATGTCCCCAGCCTTCCAGTCGTGCAGCCATCCCACCACGTCTCCAGGACCACAGCAACATCACGGCCCTGCAACCACATGCCCGTCCCTGGCTCACCCTGGTTTTTCCCCACCCTGCCCTCATTACAGCACAGGAGCTCAGAGGGGCACCCCGGGGTGGTGGGCTCCTAGGAAGGGTTTGGGGGATTTCTCCATAATGAAGCCCTGTAGGTATTGCCTCGCCAATCTGCAGATGCCGGAGGTGACCCTGCTTAATCCCCACGTTGTTCCTGTTGTGGTTTCTCCCTCTCACATCACCCCGTGCCCTTTGTGCTCCCTCCCTCCTCGTTCCCAGCTGAGAGCAGCACCCAGGCTGTCGGCCACAAAGCACCCGTCTGCCTCCCGGTCTGCACAAGGTACTGACCTGATCTCACCCATATCACCTCCTGCCCCCCTTCTGCACTGCCCTTAGTGTCTGCAGGGCTGTTTCTCTCTCATTTCTCATTCCTCTCTCCCAGATGCTGTTGCAAAGGATTTTTTTTTTACCCTTTCTTAAGTCTGCTTTTGCTGAGGCCGCTCATTGGCACAGCTTTATCAAGCAGAGGATTGCTTTTCCAGCTGGCTGGAACTGGCCCTTATCTAGCATGGGACAATTATTAGGTTCTTCTGCCACCCTTGCAGCCCCCCACTACCAAAACCTTGTCTCAAAACAAAAACCAAATAAATAAAAAGGGAACTGCCACAGAGGCTCCTGACCCTCTAGTGTAAGAGCAGCAAATCACACTCATTAGAAACACCTAAAGATTGTCAGAAACCTCTAGATCTTCCTCGGGTCCACACCCTACTGGCTCATGTTAATTTTCTACTTCAGTAAAGGACAGCAGAGCCAGCTGAAACACCCAGACAGCTCAGAGGAACTGCCTGGTGCTCCTGGACCTTGTCTCCAGATCCCGAAATTCCCAAAGAACAAACCCTGATGCACAGACTGCGGGGTCACCGGCTTGGTCTGTGTGGGATTTCAAGGAAGGTGAGGTGTGCCGAGAACTTCAGCCTTGGGCACCGGGGGCTGTGCCAGGTGGGGTGTCTGTGGGGCTGCAGAGTTCCCCTGCAAGCAGGCTCTGTTACCTGCAGAAAGTCGGGGTGGATTTTAGCAGTTGCGTTTTGGTAACTTACTGCAATGGGCTTGAGCCCACCTCCCTTCTGTCACTCCTCAGAACCCGCTTTGAAAGCTCAGATACTGGGGCCAGAGCACGGCTGCTGGTTGGAGGATGCTCGTTCTCCTCGTTAAGTGCCACTGATGGCAAAGACCTCGTTAAGCTGCTGGCGGTGCTGCTGGCCGCGGATGCCGGTTTGCATCCCGTGCTGTCTGCGTGAGCAGATCTGGTGGCAGAATGGTTGGTACTGCCCCCCAAGCTGCAAGGGGGGCCTCTACATCAGAAAAACAAAGTAAAATTGGCTAAATGTGAAGGCGAAGAGGAGTTTCTTATCCTGGTCTTGCCTGAAGATCCCTGCGTACATGTACTGAGGTCTCCAATGCTGGGGCAAACCTACAAAGCCATGGGCTGCCTGGGAAGTGCTAGGGCTTTTGACTGAGCTCATTTTCCTTGTCTGTAGGAGCAAAAAAACAGTGCCACACAGCTTTACCGGCACCTGCAGGCTGTGATTTGGGGAGGGAGCAAGAGGAACCCTGCTCATCGGCGTGGTGAGGATGCTGCCTCACCCGACACGTGCTGACGGCTGCTGCAGGCTGAAGGGCGGTGGAGTTTGGTTCCTTACAAACTCTGGCACTGATACCCACGGAGGGGAAAAGCTGCCCAGTGCCAGCAAAGCCACCAAACCTCCTGCCGGGCACTGTGGAAGCTCCCTGTGCTGCTCAGCTTTTAACCCAAATAATTGGATGGGCACTGGATTTCCTCCTCGCCTTCCAGGAAAATGACCTCCCAGAGGTCTTGGCAGGGGTTAACTCTGCGCAAAGTAGTCACGCAATGGGGAGGTCTTCTTCCAAGCACCAAATAACTTGCAGAAGTAATGCATTTGTTCCTAATTAGGATAATTGCCCCATCACTTTTCTCTGTGGCATCGGCCAACCTAACTCACAAACGTCTGAAAACACGAGCTGAAGTATGACCAAATTTAGGAGCTGAGTCGAGTAATATATTGCCTCGGTTTGTCCTAAAACATGAATTGGCTGGGAGTCCTCCTGCGTATTGCATTTCCAGGGAACATGAGGAACCCATTGTGTAATTAGCAGTAGTATTTTCAACGCGCTGTGGTGTGCAGCCTGCGCCATGCTCTGCCCTCCCGTCCCGGGCTACTGCACCTCCTGGGACCCTCGGTTCGTGGCTGGGAGCTGCTGGGGGGCTACCAAACGCCTGTGCCGCAGGAGTGCTGAGCACGGCTGTGGTTAAGCAGGAGGTAAGGGCTCACCTCCTCCTTCCTCCCCACAGGCAGCCAGAGCAGGGATGTGCCTTGCTGTAACGCGCTGGGGGCCAGCAGCAGAGCTGGGGACAGGACTCTGGAAGGCTCAGAGCAAAGCCCAGGCCATACACCAGTGTGCCCAGCACGGGCAGCTTGCTGGGGGCCTGGCAGAGCTGCTGTCCTGCCTGCAAGCTGCCTGGATCTCTCTTGCTCCTCTTTCCACATCCACCCGGCCCCTCTGACTGCCATACAAAGCTTCTTTCCCCCAGGGGCGTTGATATTTAAAGGTTTTTGGAGAAATCCATTTGCACTGTAAGGATGACTAATGGTGAGGCCTGGGGGTGAGTTCAGTCTCCTCCAGGCCTCATCCCCGTCAGGCCAGGAGCTGGCCAGAAAACGAGAGAGTGCTTCCCCCTCCCTCGGCCCTGTGCTAGCAGCATTGTGCGTTCACCCCACACATCTCATCCTGAAATGTTGCCCCAACCCCTTGCGACTTTTGGGAGCTTTTTTGGAGGGATCGAGTGCTGCTGCCCTGGTTGAACAGCCACGTTGCTGCCCCAGGTCTTTGCTGAGAGCCTTTTTGGAGGGGAGGTCACACAAAGGGTCTGGGGGTGCCGGAGTTCCCAAGGAGCCTGGCTGGGTCTCCTCCTGCTCACCCTACACCACGAGCCGTGTCCCAGGCTGGGGACTGTCCCCTGCCACCCGCTGTCCCCTGTGAGGAAGGGTTCATGGTTAAAGGATCAGGGAAGGAGATGAGAGTGGACTTTCTGCGTGCCAGGACATCCTCTCGGGACAGCTAGTTGGCCCGTTTGAAGCCTCGCTCTGCCAAAGCCGTGCATTTCCTCTCCACAGGGATTTTCCACCCCATCTCCACATTTCACACAGACTTGCTGTGGGTGAGGCCCAAGCTGAAGTGCTCGTTCATTCCTTTCACAGAGCTGGATCCTGCACCTTGCACCGGCTGCTCCCCAGCCTGGCCGTGCCTTCGCCTTTGCTTCCCTCTCCTCTCCCCCTCCACCTTCTTTCTCCTCTCCTCTGGGGCTTTGCCCCACGTCGGAGCAGGGAGCGCCCCTCCACCAAGCAGCCTGCTCCTGGCCCTGCACACGGTGGCTTCATCATAGGAAGAAAGGGGGAGGAAAAAAGAAAAAGAAAAAAGAAAAAAAGAAAAAAAAAAAAAGAGGACTCATTTTCTTTAAAAAATACAAACATGGAAACCTTCCCATTAGTGTGTGAGCTGATGGATTTCCAATCGGCTCCGCGGCCGAGGCAGTCTGCACACACAGAGCATGGACCCGCAGCCTGCCTCGCGCCGTAGCCTTTCTATTTTTTGATGGTAGGGAGGTTCAAGTCGAGACAGAGCAGCCCCCAGGGAGTTTTTCTCGCTGCAGTTCTGCCTGTTTGAAGATCCCAGCCTGGGAGGTCAGCGGTGTCTGTGCAGGACCTGGGCAGGGAGCTCGGCCCCATCCCATCCGCAGGCTGCAAATCTGCCTGAGCCCGGCCGCTCGCACGTCTGTGCTCTTGGGAAAGCACTTAAGCCTCTTGCTTCCAGTCCAAGTGCATCCTGCTTAAATCTCCCTCCTGGATCTGGGCGCTTAATAAGTCTTAGCATTTTATTAGCAGATACTAATAGCAGTGGCTCGGAGCCGCGTGCTTTGAATTCAAATCCCCCTCGGCACAACATGCTCCGCTCATCCCCCTGGCCGCGCGGACGCAGACATCTCCCACATCCCCTACGTGGAGCCCTTCCTGCCCAAGGGGTGAGCAGCCAGTTCCTGCTAACTGCAGGCTGAATCTCACCAGCACCATTAACAGGGGCCAGCAGGAGAAAGGGGGCCACCAAACCTGCAGCCCCCAGACCTGCATCGAGCAGAAGCTGCCGTGTCCAAAAGTGCCTCCAAAAGCCTTCCCTCCCACCTCCGGTGGCCTCTCCAGGGAAGTGGGCCTCTAGCAGGCGAGATGAAGCAAGGCTGAGCTGGTGGATATTGATGGCAACGTAGGAACTGGGCCAGAAAGTTGCCTCTGGATAGGGAGGAGGAGATGCAGTGGAGAACAACCAAGCCACATCTGGGTTTGAGGGTGAGCCCAACACCTCCGAATGGCTACACGAGGGCTCTGGCTGATCCGTTTACACCTACTGTGGATGGAGAGACACAGAAGAGGGTGGGAAATCACTGCCTTGCCTGCTGGTGTTTTGCAAGCAAGCCCTGCAAGAACCTCTTTTGCCTGCAGGATGGGCGCACATCCCACAAAATCCCACCACGTCCCTTGGACTCGGCCCCTTGGCGTTTTCCAGGCTGTTCCTGCAGGCTCAGTGGGAAGGTGGCACACTCTTTCCTCAGCTCCTCCCTATTTTCCCTCTCCACTTCCAGGTCCAAGGAAACCCCAGACTGCTTCCTTCCCCCTAGCAGCCACGGTGTCCAGGTTTTTCTCCCAGCTGAGAGAGCCCCCAGCATGTCCTGGGAAGGCCAGACGTGGTCAGCTCATCAATTCCTCAGTCCCCAGTTATTGTGGGTCCCCAACCACGTAATTCTCCCCATCTGTTTGATGGCGATGTGATGCTCGCAGGCAGTCCCAGTGAGTCCCACGGCGGTGTTCCCAAGAGTTGCTCCTCACCCCAGCATTGCCCACCTCTTTCTCATGCACTGCTGAACAAGTCGGTGCTCGGTGACCCTTCTTGCTGACCTCCTCCAAAAACAAAATGCGGGACCCAAGACGGCTGCCAAGGATGGTGAAAGCTGTGCTGGAAAAAAAAAAAGGAGAAGGGAAAGCAACGCTCTGGGAAGGTGCCGCCCCCAGGATGGGGACATCTCGCCCGGCTCGGGGGCTGGCTGCTCCCCCTGCTCCGCAGAGGACCAGGCAGATGCCTCGAGTCCAAGCAGCACATCTGGAAGTGGGCTCCATTAAAACAAACCTTATTACATAACAACAGACATCTGGAGCCTGTTACCACTACATTTTTAGTAAAAATAGTTTTTGATATGATCTCTCCGAAGAATGTGGCAGAAGGGCTCGGAGCCAAAGTCCTCCAAGAACGGCTGTAACTGCTTCTCATAAAGCATCCCCCTCTGCCTGCTCGGAGCAGGGCTGTTTCCTCTCCGTGCACACACCGTGCCTCCCCGCTGGCGCTCGGGGGCACCGAGGGGAAGGATTTGGGCTGAAGGCAGGTGCAGGGCTGGGGACAAAGCTGTAGGGTTCACCAGTCCCCAAGCTCCGAGGTCTCTGTAGGCTTCGCACAGCCCCTGGGATCAAGAGAATCGAGCAGTGTGCACCCAAATCTCAGTTAGTCAGGGCAGGAGGCTGTTAGCTCATCAGAGCCTGCCTACGGACCATCTCTGCACGCAGGGAGGAGCCCCCCATGTGCTGGGTGCTGAGGAGGTGCCAAAGGGCCAGGGCTGGATGAAACTGCAGTGCTATGCCGAGACTTTGGTGCTCCCAGCCAGGAGGAAGATCCGGCTGGAGCATTCGCCTCCTCTTCCTTCCATAGTTTTTGAGCCATGAGATTTCTTCCTGGCGTCGTGGCTGCAAACCTGGCTCCCCCCGGCTGCCTGCAGGTCCCTCCCCACAGGGCTGCGGAGGCTTCGCCCGGCGCTAGCAGACCCCGTGCAGCAGCAGCAAGGAGGGATTTGGCCGCCCCGACTCTTTTGCAGGTCAGAATTGGCCCGGCAGAGGAATGATGGAAACTCCCTTCCTCGCTCTTGATCTATCTGCAAGGTTCTTAAGTGATGGGTGGAGTTGGAGTGGGACAGACCCCGGCCGCAGCCAGGAGGGCTGGTGTTGAGAAACCCGTACGAGATGGGGGATTTTATTGCTGCCTTGGGATGCCAGCCCCGAGGACCCCATGCCTGCTGCTGCCTCTCAGCACCCACAGCCAGCTTCTCTACCAGCGTGGCCACAGCACCCCAGCCAGCATCTGGCCCCAAAAAAAGCTCTCACAGCTTTTTTGGGCAGGGAGGAGGTGGCCACGCTCCATCCAGCCGCTGTCCGGCTTGGGCTCGCTCCTGGCATGCGGGTCCCTGGAGGGGAGGGCGAGCAGAAGGAGAGCTGGCCCCAGCTCGGGCTGGGCACGGGACTGCTGGGGGGATTTTGGCGACTGCCTTGCCACATCCCAGGAACAGCTCTGCTCTCCGTACAGGGCTGGGGGCCACGCGGCATTAATGCTGTCAGTGCCCTGGAGCGAGGCTGTACCCATTTCCTTTTGCCCCAGGCTATAAAAGACATGAACTTAAATCCAGTCTCTCCTTTTTGCTCCAATTTATGCCAACCAGACTGCAGCTTTCCAGAGGTTATAACCTGGCTGCATCTGGGCAGATTTTCACGTCATCACCAGGACACATATTGGTGTGAAGCCGTCCCCCTGCCCCAGCAGAAGGTTGCTCGGGGTCTCTTGCAGCAAATGCTCCTCGTTTTCCTCAGCCTGCTCCTTGCACATGGCAGTGCTCGTCTGGCTGGCGTGCAGCTCACCTAGGAAAGCCCAAGTGGTTAGTCTGGCAAAGCTGAAAGCAGACGGCAGGAGAGCCCTGTCGCTGGAAGCAGCAGGCTGCTTGCCTTACAGGTGAGGTTACCAGTTCCACCTACACCGAAAAATGTCAGAAATACATAAGAATGCTCCTTGCTCTCTGCTTTTCTAACTTTTGCTTGGAGACTCTCTCTCACTGCGCAGCCTCCGGCTGAGATCAAAGCAGTCCCAACACCCTCCCCATTTCCCATTTGCTCTGGGGGCTCTCCTGCACCCTACAAGCATCCCAAAGGGGCAGCTCCTGACAAGTTGCAGGAAGGGAGAAGAAGGGCAAGAGAGAGAAATGGTTCCCAAAACCCTGCTCGGGGCTGACATGAAGCTGGTGCCTGCTCTTGGCTTCACCTTTGCAGCCATCATCTTGGGAGATGTTGTCCAGCTGCTTCAAGCCTGGAAAACAAAAGGTCTTTATTTTCCATCTCTCTCTCTTTTTTTTTTTTTTTTCTTTTCAATTTACAGATTAAAGGGATGGACATTTACGGGAAAGTCCTGCACAAAAGGAGCCGAAATGCAGGCTGCTGGGGAGCAGCACTCATGAACTGAGTGCAGTTCCTGTGCTCATCCTCGCGTGGTTCCCCTGCATCTGCTGGTGCTGTTTTCTCTCACACCCTTCCTACCCCTCTCTTTGCTTTGGCTCACCCGACATTGCCACTGATTTTCCACCAATTTTGTCGTACAAAGCCTGTGAACAAACACAGTGCTTTGGAGAAAAAACAGAGGATCAGATTAGCCTCAGCTGGCATTCGCCTTGCTATTTCCCACCCGCCCTCAGCCTGTGGATGTCATTTTCTTCTCGCTGGAGCAGTGGAGTTGCTGGACCTGGTGCTTTTCCGTGCTCCTGTGCTCTTGCCTGGTGACTGGAAGCCCTGGAGAGCAGCATTTAGGCCTGGAGCAAGGAAAAGGGAGATGTTTCTGCAAGCACCAGGCTTCCCCTGCCTGCAACATTCACGCGAGCAGGGGTGATCCCTCCTGGGCGCAATACTGCATCCTCTGCCGGGATGCTCGGGCTGTGCTATTTCTCCTGGAGAGCTGCAGGAAGAGATGGGGCCAGGGCTGCCCAACCCACGGAAGGTGGCCCCAGGAGCCCAGGCACCCCACGCGTCTCTGCCAGCCTGGCAGAGCTCGGGGACATCCCTCGTGTCGCAGCAGCGGGGAGGTGCTGGCAGGACGCCGGCTGTGCTCAGACAGGACGTAGCTCCCTGCCCACAGACCCAGCGTCTGGCCTCCGAGTGCTGCAGCACGAGGAATCCAGCTCGTTGAGCAAGAAGTTCAAGCTCTGATTTGCAGATATTGTTAGGAACAAAAGCCCAGAGCTCTGCTCATTGTAATCTCTGACATAATCGCTGTCATTGTGTACATTCCCTGCATGAACGTTTGACACTGGGAAAATACTTGCAGTTCCTGAAGGACTGGCAAAATCGAGCAGGAGTGTTTATTCATGCCAGAACCTAATCCAGAAACTCATTTTTCTTTCTCGCTGGATAATTTATCTGGGGAGAACACGGGCTGTGGTGAGCCGGCACCGCCCGCTCCTCGCCAGGCAGCGGGTGGGTAATGGCAACGGGATCCCACCGAGAACCCCTCGGGGAATTCGTTCCTAATGAGACGTGGCCAGCCCCATAGCACCATCCTGGTCCTGCCCTGCATCTCTCGGCTGATCCCACCACCAGCAGGGCCACCCAGAAGATGTCCCCGATGTGCCCAGGCTGGAGGTCACGGTGCCGCGGGACACCTGTACCCCCGTGGTTTCCAGAAGCGCACTGTGCCTCCTGTGGCAAACCAGCCTGCTCTGCACACCTTCCTGGCACCAAAACCACGGGGTTTGGGCAAACTGTGGCAAGTGTGAGCTGAAAAGTGTACTTCGAGAGCCCCATTGCAGGCAGGGCAAGGGAACCTCTCTGCATGGAGCATCCTCTT